AAAAGAGTTGCACAGATAAGGAGGGAGGCCCAGCGACAGTATGAAAACGACATAGCATCGAAAGTCAAATCTGACCCCAAAATGCTGTATAGCCACATTAGGAGGAAGACAACAGTCAAGGACCAGGTGATAAGGCTGAGGAAAGAAGGTGGAAGAACTCACAAGAAACGATCAAGAGGTATGTGAGGAGCTAAACAAGAGATTTAAGGGAAGTATTTACAGTAGAGACAGGAAAGGACTCTGGGGGGAAGACCAGACGGGGAACCAGCAAGGAATACACCAACAAGTGTTGGACGGGGAAAATACATACAGATGAGGAGGAGGTGAAGAAACTGCTAAGGGACATCGATACCTCAAAGGCAATGGGACCAGACAACATCTCCCCGTGGGTCCTTAGAGAGGGAGCAGATTTATTGTGCGTGCCCCTTACCACAATCTTCAACACATCCCTGGTAACTGGGCAATACCTGAGGTATGGAAGCGGCAAAAGTAGTTCCCATTTTTAAAAAAGGAGACAGAAAGAGGCACTAAACTTAGCCTGTGTCATTGACGTGTTATAGTATGCAAAATTATGGGAAGATTATCAGGAGGAGAGTGGTGGGCACCGGAACGGAAACAGGAGTATAAATGCCAACCAGCAGGGTTCACGGAAGGCAAATCCTGTGTCACAAACCTTCTGGAGTTTTCTGATAAAATAACAGAAGTAAGACAAGAGAGAGAGGGGTGGGTTGATTGCATCTTCTTGGACTGCAAGAAGGCCTTTGACACAGTTCCTCACAAGAGATTAGTGCAGAAACTAGAGGGACCCGGCGCATATAACAGGAAGGGACTGCAATGGATCAGGAATCCCGACGGGGGGCAACAAGAGTCATGGGACTAAGATGTATCACAGTGGGCCCCGTGCGAGCGGGGTCCCACAGGGGTCGGTCCTAGGTCCAGTGCTATTTTGGTATATGTGAAGACTGATGGAAGGGTTAGATCGAAATGTCCCTGTTTGCAGATGATGTGAAATTTAATGAGGAGAATTAAATCTGATAGGGCCCGGAAAAACTTAAAGGACCCGGACAGACTGGACACCTGGCCCGCAAATGGCTTCTCGAATTTAATCCTGCCAAATGCAAAGTTGAAAATGGGGGGGGGGCACAGGACCACAGAAGGTATGGCTAAGTGGCCAAAGATGCAAACCTCACTCAAGGAGAAGATCTTGGGGTGAGTATAACACGGAAAGTCTCCGGAAGCAAAACTCAATCAGATAACTGGCAGCATATGGGGCCTGGCAAACCTGAGAACAGCATTCCGATACCTTAGTAAGGAATCATTCAAAGGGACACTGTACACCTTGTTTGTCGGGCCCCATACGGGGTATGCGCCCCTTTTTGGAAACCCCGCACTTGATAAACCCGTCAAAAAAATAGAGAAAATTTTACAAGGTTTGCGAAAAGGGTTTAAATTTTTCCAGAGTTTAAAGGGGAAATGCCCTTTAAAAGGAAAAAGTTTAAAGGGGAAATGGGCCTGACCACACTGGGGGGGCGGAGGGTCAGGGGAGAAATGATACGCCCATTTAAAAAATTTTATGCGTGGAAAAAGAAAAGGGGTGGAAAAAAGACAGGATGTTCCGGGGGGGGAAACACAAAAAACAAGGGGCCAAAAATTTGGAAAGTTGAAGACACAAATGAGTCAGAGAAAATTGGGGAAAGTATTTCTTCAGTCATAGGTTGAAAGGGCGTGGAATACCCTTTAAAAAATGACGTAGTGGGGCGGGAAACCCATAAAAAGTTTTAAGACGGGGTTTTGGGAAAAAAGCTCATGGAGCGGGGGGGGGGGGAGAGGGGGAAGGGGGCCTAGTAGCAAGGGGTAAAAGAGGGGGGGCCCAGGAGTAGGCTCGCCCCCTGCAAAACAAATAGGGGGAATAAAATAGGGGGATTTGGTACACACACAAACACACACCCCACACACACATCGAGCGACCCAAAGTTTTTGATTATGGGATTTTAAAAACCCAAACGGGAAAGTTTTGACGGGGAAAAACTTGGGCCACCCGAGGGTCCCGAAAAAATAGAGACCCAAGTTGGGTGGATTTTGGTACTGGAAAAAATTCATGCATCAACATGTTGGGGACACTACCAGAGAGAGAGAAGACAGGGGGAGGGAGATGAAACCCAAAAAAGACTGGAAACCCCGTGTTAACTCTGAGTAGCCAGCTTTTAAAGGGAAACGTACATGAAAGGCCCCTTGGAGCTAATGTCACCCATGTTCTGGCTTTGAATAAAATAATTTTGGGCACAAGGGTTTTTGAGGGTAACAGGAGAAGAATGTTAAAAGCCAAAAATATAAAAGGGGGGGGATATACGGGTAGAGGAACTTCCGCGGAGGTTCAGGGGGAAAAGAAAATTGGGGGAAAGCAGAAAATAAAAATGGGGAAAATAAGTAACAACAAAATGCAAGGGGGAAAGATTAAGTTTTTTTCCCATGGACAACAAAAATATGGGAAGACAGAATAGCCCTTGTTTTACCCAAAGGGTTTTTAAGGGAGGCAAAAACTTGTGAAGAGAGAATGGAAAAAGTACAGGGGGCAAAGGACCCAAAGGGAAAAAAGAGAGATTAGTCGAAAGCCCCGAAAACGAGTATGCACAAAAAAGGGGGAGGCCCAACAAATGTACAAAAACAAAGGGAGCACGAAAAATTTAAGTCTGACCCGAAGTTTGTATAGCCACGAGGAGGAAGACAACATCAATGACCTGTACTCAGGCTGAGGAAAGAGAGTGGGGAGCTCACAAGAAATGACCAAGAAGTATGTGAGGAGCTCAACATGAGATTTAAGGAAGTATTTACAATGGAGACAGAAAGGACTCTGAGAAGACAGAACAGAGGGATACACCACAAGGGATATTCCAACAAGTGTTGGACGAAATACACACAACCAAGGAGGAGGTGAAGAAACTGCTAAGTGACTTTGATACTTCAAAGGTGGTGGGACCGAACAACATCTCTCCGTGGGTCCTTAGAGAAGGAGGAGAGATGCTGTGTGTGCCACTAACCACAATTTTCACCACATCCACTGAAACTGGGCAGCTACTGAGGTATAAAAAACGTCAAATGTAGTCCCTATTTTTAAGAAACGAGACAGAAACGAGGCACTAAACTATAGACAAGTGTCACTGACGTGTATAGGAGGCCAAGTCATGGTAAAAATTATCAGGAGGAGAGTGGTGGAGCACCTGGAATGGAACAAGATTATAAACGACAAACAGCACGGATTCATGAAAGGCAAATCCTGTGTCACAAACCTACTGGAGTTTTATGACAAGGTAACAGAAGTATGACATGAGAGAGAGAGAGAGGGGTGGGTAGATTGCATTTTCTTGGACTGAAAGAAGGCCTTCGACACAGTTCCTCACAAAAAGTTAGTGTAAAAGCCAGAGGATCAGGCACATATACCAGGAAAGGCACTGCAATGGATCAGAGAATACCTGACATGGAGGCAACAAGGAGTCATGGTACGTGATGAGGTATCACAGTGGGCGCCCGTGACGAGTGGGGTTCCACAGGGGTCTGTCCTAGACCAGTGCTATTTTTAGGTATATGTGAATGATATGAGGAGGATACACTCTGAAGTGTCCCCTGTTTTGCAGATGATGTGAGTTAAAGAGAGAATTAAATCAGATGGGGGTTAGGCAGACAACAAAGAGAACCTGGACAGGCTGGACACCTGGTCCAGCAACTGGCTCCTTGAATTTAAACCCTGCCAAATGCAAAAGTCATGAAGATCGGAGAATGGCAAAGAAGACCGCAGACAAGATTATAGCTAGGTGACCACCGACTGCAAAGCCTAACCTCGCTCAAGGAGAAAGATCTTGGGTGAGTATAGACACTGAGCACGTCCTCCGGAAGCATACATCAACCAGATAACTGCTGCAGCATATGGGCGCCTGGCGAACCTGAGATTAGCATTCCGATACCTCAGTAAGGAATCTTTCAAGACACTGTACACCGTGTACGTCAGGCCCATACTGGAGTATGCAGCATCAGTTTGGAACCCGCACCGGGTTAAGCACGTTAAGAAATTAGAGAAATTGCAAAGGTTTGGGACAAGGTTAGTTCCAGAGCTAAGGGGAACGTCATACGAAGAAAGGTTAAGATAAATCAGCCTGACGACACTGGAGGACAGGACGGATAGGGGAAACATGATAACAACATACAGAATACTGCGTGGAATAGTCAAGGAGGACAGAGACAAGATGTTCCAGAGATAGGACCCTGAAACAAGGGGTCACTCTTGGAAGCTTAAGACTCAGATGAGTCACGAGGGATGTTTAGGAAGTATTTCTTCAGTCATAGAGTTGTCAGGAAGTGGAATAGTCTGGCGAGTGATCTAGTGGAGGCAGGAACCATGCATAGCTTTAAAACGAGGTATGATAAAGCTCATGTAGCAGGGAGAGAGAGAACCTAGTAGCGTTCAGTGACGAGGCGGGGCCTAGGAGCTGAGTACGAACCCCTGCAACTACAATAGGTGAGTACAAATAGGTGAGCGCGCACTCACACACACACACAACACACACACACAGCACACACAACACACACACACACACACCACACACACACACTCACGACAACACACACACACACACACTCACCACACACACACACACACACACACACACACACACACCTGCATATAAACACAGAATTTCAATTGCAACGATATTCTTTTTAATTTTGGAAAAGTTATGTAAACTTATTAATAATGGATTTTAACACGAAGTACTGGAACCTTTTCAAGTATACGACAGTAAAACGCAACTAATTAACATTATTAATATCCTATCAAGCCAAAGCTCAAAGTCACTAGACAAGTTAACATATTTATTGACCAGAGGAATCATGAGGTCACACCACAAGATAACACCGTCTCTGTTGCAGTATAATGAAAGCTAATCTCTCAGATGTACGTAATTTCTTCAGCCTGACCTAAGACACTCTCCCAGACTAGCATGTCTCACCTGGGGTACACGAGGCGGGCTAGTTGAACAGGTGACTTGTTTGAGCTGAGTAGTTCATCTTGTGTGTAGCCAGCTAGGAGATTGAAGTTCCAGAGCCAGGTGGAAGAAGCAGCTTTGAACACATTGCACCACACAAGTCCATACTCCTTGTTTATGAGGAATTCCCATGCGTTAATTTGATATTGCTCTGTGGGCTGGTCCAGTCCTTCCTTCGCACACATCTGTGGGGGGCTGACACCATCACTGCCTAGTACACCCTTTTCCTGAATTTCTATAATAAATCTTCCCATCTGTTGTCTCTCTAAAATCTGACTCTTTAAAATCAATGTAGAGATTAAGCTCATATAAATCATGACACATATAGGGTCCCAACAGGAGAGCAGATAATGTAAATAAATTTGATAGCTTTATTACGCACCTCAAACTCATTCTGTGAGCGCTAGTCAAAAGATTAATAGTTTCAGGAACTAGTCCGCTACACTTTTTATTTTTTAGCTAGCTAAGATGCAGTAATAACGATTTATTTTCAATTTTATTGGTTCATAACCATTAGTAATGCACTGCCAGAACATTCATGAATTCAGTCACATAAACATTATCTTAAATTAGTGGGTAACATAGAGCCTTGGGAATAAGGAACATTTAGGTTCGATCCAAAGAAGGGAAAGTTAAGGCCAGTTCCTTCACTGGCATCAAGGCAACTCCCAGGAAGGTTATGAGTTATTTACAATATCCAGTAATTAACAACTTATGGTTGTACATAACAAGCGACAGTGGTTATGAGTTATTTATTATAGGCAAAGTTGGAGTATTTTCCCAGAAGTGCTGATAATATTCTACTATGGATAAAATACACATTGCAAGAACATTTTGAGTAATCTCTAAATACGTAATTATCTTCGCACTCCAGATCATAATAATATTGAAGAACAATAGTTCATTCAACAAGGTTTACATGTAGCCAAGTTTGTAAGAGTTAGCGGTGAAAACTCGTAAAGAAGTCAGTAGAAAAGAGGAAGCGGATCAGTAGTGTGTGATGCGCTATATAACAGAGTTCTTCTCACACGATGGCATGATGACAAACTGGCTGCTGCCAGTCTTCATATATTTCAGGCATATGATGTTCGGTTTAAGTTCTGTCTGTTTTATTGTCCTTAAACCACTAGCGGAAGGCTAAAGTTATAATGTACTCCTTCTACGGATGTACACGCTACTTCCTCTGTGAATGTACACGCTACTTCCTCTGTGAATGTACACGCTACTTCCTCTGTGAATGTACACGCTACTTCCTCTGTGAATGTACACGCAACTTCCCTCTGTGAATGTACACGCTACTTCCTCTGTGAATGTACAACGCTAACTTCCTCTGTGAATGTACACGCTACTTCTCTGTGAAAAGTACACGTACTTCCTCTGTGAATGTACACGCTACTTCCTCTGTGAATGTACACCTACTTCCTCTTGAATGTACACGCTACTTCCTCTGTGAATGTACACGCTACTTCCTCTGTGAATGTACACGCTACTTCCTCTGTGAATGTACACGCTACTTCCTCTGTGAATGTACACGCTACTTCCTCTGTGAATGTACACGCTACTTCCTCTGTGAATGTACACGCTACTTCCTCTGTGAATGTACAACGCTACTTCTCTGTGAATGTACACGCTAACTTCCTCTGTGAATGTACAACGCTACTTCCTCTGGGAATGTACACGTACTTCCTCTGTGAATGTACACGCTACTTCCTCTGTGAATGTACACGCTACTTCCTCTGTGAATGTACACGCTACTTCCTCTGTGAATGTACACGCATTTGTTAATTATTTATTCATATCATTCACTTGAATTAAACATCCAGCAACATAACCACTACTCTGGGACATAACAACATAACAACTACTCCTTGCCACAACAAAAACATAGCCACTACTCTGGGAAACAACAACAACATAGCCACTATCTGGACACAACATACCACTCTGGGACACAACAACTAACCACTACTGGGACAACAAATACCACTACTTGGGAACACAAACACCATAGCCACTACTCTGGGAACAACAACAAACCCCTACTCGGAAAACCAAACTACTCTGGGAACAACACATAACCACTACTCTGGGACACATCATAACCATACTGGACACATCGACATAACCACTGCTTGGGACACAACATAACCATACTCTGGGACACATCGACAAACAACACTGGAAACATAACCACTACTCTGGGACACATCGACATAACCACTACTCTGGGACACAACACATACCACTACTCTGGGACAACACAACACTACTTGGGACACACAACATAACACTCGGGACACAATCATCATAACCACTACTCTGGGACACATCAACATAACCACTACACTGGGACACATCGACATAACCACTACTCTGGGATACATCAACATAACCACTACTCTGGGACACATCGACATAACCCTACTCTGGGACATCGACAACCCTTGGACACACATAACCACTACTCTGGGACACATCGACATAACCACTACTCTGGGACACAACAACATAACCACTACTATGGGACACACATCAACATAACCACTACTCTGGGACACATCAACATAACCACTACACTGGGACACATCAACATAACCACTACTCTGGGATACATCAACATAACCACTACTCTGGGACACATCAACATAACCACTACTCTGGGACACATCGACATAACCACTACTCTGGGACACAACATAACCACTACTCTGGGACACATCGACATAACCACTACTCTGGGACACAACAACATAACCACTACTCTGGGACACACATCAGCATAACCACTACTCTGGGACACATCAACATAACCACTACTCTGGGACACAACAACATAACCACTACTCTGGGACACATCAACATAACCACTACTCTGGGGACATCAAACATAACCACTACTCAGGACACATCAACATAACCACTACTCTGGGACACATCAACATAACCACTACTCTGGGACACATCGACATAACCATACTTGGGACACAACAATAACCACTACTCTGGTCACAATCAACATAACCACTACTCTGGAAAACACAACTAACCACTACTCGGACACATACATAACCACTACTCTAGGGACACACACATAACACTATCGGACACAACATAACCACTACTCTGGGCATCAACAACATAACCACTATTCTGGACACACACAACTAACCACTACTCTGGGAAACATCAACAATTAACCATACTCTAGGTCACAACAACATAGCCAAAACTCTGGAACACACAACAACATAACCACTACTCTGGGACACATCAACATAACCACTACTCTGGGACACATCGACATAACCACTACTCTGGGACACAGCAACATAACCACTACTCTAGGTCACAACAACATAACCACTACTCTGGAACACACATCAACCTAACCACTACTCTGGGACACAACATTACCATTACTCTAGCACACAACAACATAACCACTAATCTAGGTGACAACAACATAACCACTTTTCTGGGGCATAACAACATAACCACTATTCTGGGACACAACAACAACACTGTGAGAATTAATCCACAGAGGTTACTATAAGTACACTGTCTACAATTTTGTCATAACTGTCTGGCTTCTGGCACAAGCACCTCACCAATGACAATATTATAGTTTAGGGTATTTATGAATGGCTGAGAATAGTTTACAGTTAAGGTGTTAACTTTAAATTAATGTATACATTTGATTGCAGGGAGCATTTGCAAGATGTTTAACCTGAGGGCTGAGAATGAGTCTCATACCTGGTGAAGGTGCTGTCTCCTGGCCTCCAGTCGTTGGATAAGTTCCGGTGAGGGAGACCATGTGGCTGGTAGAGTAGCTTCCTCGATCTGCAAGATCAACACCTCTTATTGACTCCATCTCCTTACCCCCCCTCTCACTTGTTGATCCAAGCTGCTGACTTCCACCTGCTGACCCAATCTGCTGATCCCATCTGCTGACTGCATCTGATGACTCAATCTTCTGACTCCATCTGCTGACCACACCTGTTGACCCCACCTGCTGAACCCACCTGCTATCCTGGTCGCTGACCCCATCTACTGACGTCACCTGCTTATCCCATCGTCTGACTTCCATCTGCTGACCCAGTCTGCTGACTCCCATCTGGTAACCCCAACCTAGTATTTGCTCACATCCTGACCCCAACATGCTTACCCCACCTCCTGACCCCACCAACTGACTTGACACAAACTTGACCCATCTCAATATTTATCAGATTATACAAAAAATTGCAAAAAAAAAATAAAAATATTAGAAATCCCAACCACGCTGTCTTCACATATTCTAATACACTTACATCTATACACTTATATCTATGTCTCTTTCGTGTGTACTTTTTTAATTCAGAGGTTTATATATATATATATATATATTATATATATATATTATATATATATATAATATATATTATATATATATATATATATAATATATATATATATATATATATATATATATATATATATATGTCGTGCCGAATAGGCAGAACTTGCCATCTTGGCTTAAATAGCAACGTCGTCTTGCCATATAGGACAAGCGAAAATTTGTTAATGCAATAATTTCGCCAAAATCATTCTGAACCTAACAAAAAAATATATTTGATTGTGTTTGTTTAGTATTAAATTATTGTAAACGTATTTAAATTATATATAGTTGGGTTAGGCTAAAATAAATTGTTCTTGTTATAATAAGGTTAGGTAAGTTTTCTAAGTTTCTTTTGGTGCAAAATTAAAAATTTTTACATTAACATTAATGAAAAAAAATATATCTTTAAACGTATAAGAGAAAATTTCAGAAAAGGGCTTAATTTTAAATGAGTTTTTTCTAATTGATCAGTTTTACTATTCGGCACGACATATATATATATATATAATATATATATATATAAATATTATATATATATATTATAATATATATATATATTATATATATATATATATTTAAGATGAGGGGGTACTTGTACCTCCTCCCATGGGAGACTTAGGTCTCAGACACTCCCTAGACAGGAAACCAAGGCCGGGCCACCACTTGGAAAAGGCCCGGGCCGGGAAAATACCGGCGAATCTTTAATTGAATTGAATCGATACGCCGCTGTTTCCTAAGGTTGCCGTTGTGTCGTTGAGCACAATTCGATCGGTGGACGTCAGGTGGATTATGTGGATGGTTGGTCAGTGAGGTTGTATATCTCATGTTCACTGCTAATCAAGAATAATCAGTACGCTGAGGTCAGTGGTCACGTGTGGTCCTACCTGCCTAAGCTCTTGGGAGTTAGCGTGGGCTGTTACCAAGCACCATGGCTTGTTGTAGTGTTTTAGAATCTCAGGTTCAAGTGTTGAAGGAGATTCTACTTCTTCAGGAGGAAAATAGGAGGCTGAAGCTTCGCATAGATGAGTTTGGGAGCGAGTGTGAGAATGATTTAGCTGGTAAGGTAGGAATGGTCACCAGCAGTGATAATGGCAGCCGCTTTAAGTGGCAAGTGGTTCACAGTTCAGGAAGAAGGAAGATGAAGAGAGTTAATAAAGATGTGAAGGTAGGAAATCGATTTTCTGTTCTCCAAGACTAGTGTACTTCAGTGGTTAGTGAGGTTGAAGGTACTACCGATTCCTCTGCAAATCAAGGTAAGAATATTTTAATAGTAGGCGATTCTCAGGTAAGATATTTGGACCGTGCATTTTGTAATAGAGACAGAAAGGTCAGACAGAGAGTGTGTCTTGCTGGAGCTGGTGTTGGTGACATGGTCAGCAGGTTGGATAATATTATGGTAGGTAATGGGAACAAGCCCATTATCTGTCTTAGTGCTGGGGTAATGACATTGGGAAGGGCAGGAGAGAGGAGCTGCTGGATAAGTACAGGTCAGTCATAGAAGTAGTTAGGTCTAAGGGAGGGATCCCAGTCATATGTAGCATCTTGCCTAGAAAGGGAGTGGGCAATGAATGGATGTCTAGGGCAATTATTATAAATTGCTGGCTAGACAGGTACTGCAAGGAACTTGCAATCCCATTCATTGATAACTGGGACCTATTCTTTGGCAAACGTGATATGTATACAAGGGATGGGGTTCATCTCTCTGGGGATGGAGTGGTTGTATTAGCCAATTCAATTGAGAGGGCAATTTATGATTTGTCTAGGAATTTAAACTGATAGATTACAGAGGTAAAGGGTGTTTGTGGGAAACAATCAGGCTGCAGCATTAGGTTAAAAACAGCAGTTATTACCGGGAAAACCTCAGGGATATGTTTAAAAGACAATATTCAAAATAAAATTACTAGTAATGGCAAATCAATTGATTTAACAAACAAAGAGAGATAGTAGAGGGCAATGAGTGGCTAGCTCCTTAAAGGTTTTACTAAAACAAATAGTAGGAGTCTAAGAAAAGAGATAGATAGCTAAAATTACTGCAAGTGTAGGTAATATAGATATTTTTGGTATAACAGAGACCCGGTTCAACCTGAAAGATAGAGAAATGCCTTCTGAAAGGGAACATACAGGGTTATAAACTATTGCACACTGATAGGGTTAACAGGAAGGTTTGGGTGTGCCGATGTATGTCAGAGAAAATTTTTAAAAGTTGTCTTAGACATGATATAAGATTTAGAAGATCGAACACAGAATCGTTTTGGGTCAGTTTCTCGAGGGGCGTGACAAATTTAAATTTTGGGGTGATTTAAGGGCCCCCAAAAACCCTTTATAGGGGGGCAGTAAGTTGTTTTTGGGGCGAAATTCATAAGGCATCTAGATTAAAATGTTTGATAAGGGGATTTTAACTTTTGACAAATTGATTGGAACAATATGACAGGAAGTCATGAGTCTAGTGACTTTCTTGATACGGTTCAGGATTGCTTTTCAGAACAGTTTGTGACAAAACCAACTAGAGGAAACAATCTGCTTGACTTGGTTCTTGCCAACAAAGATTCACTAATAATATCTTGAGGTTAATGGTGAGCTGGGGAAAGTGATCACAAATCACTTAGTTTCAATATATCATGGAATTACCCAGATAACTGCAATCAAATCTCTGTCCCAGATTTTCGCTTGGCCGACTTCATGGGACTAAAAAATTACTTGGGTGGGCTAAATTGGGATGTCCTGACTATGGGTCAGGCAGGTGATCTTGGTTGCCAATATGACGTTTTTCAGAGCATAGTACTAGCTGCCCAGACAACTTTTGTTCCGAGTAGGGAAATTAGATCTAACAAAAATGATCCCAAATGGATGAACAATAAATTAAAACATCTCATTGGTCAAAAGAGAGGCATATATAGGGGCTGGGCAGTTAAGAAATCAATATATTCAATTAAAGAGAGAAATAAGAAAAGGAATAAGAAAAGCAAAACGGGATTATGAAGCTAAGGTCGCAAGGGATTCAAGACTAACCCAAAAGGGTTCTTTCAGGTATACAGAAGTAAGATTAGGGACAAGATTGGCCCACTTAAGAGTAACTCTGGTCAGATCACTGACAGTGATAAGAATATGTGTGAAATTCTAAATACCTACTTCCTCTCAGTTTTCACCCAGGAAAATACTAGCGATATTCCTGAAATAATAGATTATGTAGAACAGGATGATAATAAACTATGTACGATTGAGGTAACTAGTGACATGGTCCTCAGACAAATAGAGAAACTAAAACCTAACAAATCCCCAGGTCCTGATGAACTGTTTGCAAGGGTGTTAAAGGAATGTAAAGATGAACTTAGCATACCTTTGGCTAATCTTTTTAACATGTCACTAAAAACTGGCATAGTGCCTGATAAGTGGAAAATGGCAAATGTAATACCTATTTACAAGGCAGGTGACAGGTCCTTGGCTTCAAACTATAGACCAATAAGCCTTACCTCTATAATGGGAAAATTTATGGAATCAATAATTGCAGAAGCAATTCGTAGCCATCTTGACAGGCACAGATTGATTAATGAATCTCAACACGGTTTTACAAAGGGGCATTCCTGTCTTACGAATTTACTAACTTTTTTCATTAAGGTGTTTGAGGAGGTAGATCATGGTAATGAATATGATATTTTGTATATGGACTTCAGTAAGGCTTTCGATAGAGTTCCTCACCAGAGGCTATTGAGGAAACTTAAGGCACACGGAATAGGAGGAGAAATTTTTTCCTGGGTAGAGGAATGGCTGACAAATAGACAGCAGAGAGTTTGCATAAATGGGGAGAAATCAGCATGGGAGCACGTCACAAGCGGTGTTCCTCAGGGATCAGTGTTGGGCCCGTTGTTGTTCACAATTTACATAAACGACATAGATGAGGGAATAAATAGCGACATAAGCAAATTTGCTGATGACACCAAAATAGGCCGCCAAATTCATTCTAATGAGGACATTAGAGCACTCCAGGATGATTTGAATAGATTGACGCAATGGTCGGAGAAATGGCAGATGCAGTTTAATATTGACAAATGCAAAGTTCTAAGTGTTGGACAGTTAAATAACCATGCCACATATAAACTAAATAATGTAGATCTTAATACTACTGATTGCGAAAAGGATTTAAGAGTTCTGGTTAGCAGTAACCTAAAACCATGACAGCAGTGCATTAGTGTTTCCAATAAAGCTAACAGAATTATTGGCTTCATATCTAGAAGTATAAATAATAGAAGTCCTCAGGTTGTTCTTCAACTCTATATATCCTTGGTTAGGCCTCATTTAGACTATGCTGCTGAGTTCTGGTCACCGTATTACAGAATGGATATAAATGCTCTGGAAAACGTACAGAGGAGGATGACAAAGATGATCCCATGTATCAGAAATCTTCCCTATGAGGATAGACTGAGGGCCCTGAATCTGCACTCTCTCGATAATCGTAGAATTAGGGGGG